TTATTAGCCTGTAGTGTTTTCATTTTGAACTTTTGAACTTAAGATCTCTGTGTATTTGATGTATCTCGTCCCCTTTCCTTTCTGTGTGCGCCCCCCACCCCTTTCCTGTGCTCTCTTCAGCTCTCTCTCTCTCTCTCTCTCTCTCTCTCTCTCTCTCTCTCTCTCTCTCTGTCTGTCTGCCTGATCATCTCTGTATATGTCTGCATATGCCTTTCTGTTTGCCTGCCTGCCTGTCCGTCTAACCAGCCTTCATGTCTTTCTGTTCCTGTCTTTTTGTCTTTCTGTCTGTCTGTCTGTCTGTCTGTCTGTCTGTCCGTCTACCAACCTTCCTGTCTGTCTGCCTGTCTGTCTGTCTGTCTGTCTGTCTGTCTGTCTGTCTGTTTGTCTGTCTCCCTGCCCCTCCCCGCGTCCGTGTCTCTCTCGGCCTGGGAGACCAAAAGTTTTCCACAAATCAAATAGCTCACCTTCGGTGTACATGTGTATTTGCACAATGACAACATTACGTGCACGTCAGTATTGTACCAGCACGACTTGTGTGATTTTGCACATGAAATTGTATCCCGTACGAATCTCATCATTTACGGTTTTGTTTTCAACTGTTTACCGTAACCCACATTCTTAAAAAGTTCTTTTTTTAAAACTCTTTTACGTGAACATGTATGCTGGGTGTCTCTACCCCTGGCAAAACGATACTCATCGTTGTCCTTTCAGGTTTGCCTTTCTAGTAAGATAGAAAAAAGTCCAAAAACACAAAACACAAAAAAAATACAACGCCCCCCCCAAAAAAAAAAAAAAAAACCACAACAAAAAAAATAAAAAATTAATCGAGGTACTGTTCACCATTTTACTTTGAGGCCCTCGTAGTACGAGCGTGTTTGATCCGCACGGTAGAAGTTTAAGCAGAAAACTAAACAAATTAAACACGTTTTAGTGGTCTCAGACTAGGCCTTCTTAGATCGCAGATGATAATTAATGTATGGTCAAAGCTTATTTCAAAATTATGCATGTTTACCTTACGGTGTTTAACTGTCGTTTGTGAGGTGCAATCTTCAGATGTTTTTCCCCTTTTTGTGGGTTGCTGGTGGGTGTTCTTGGGAGCTCTTAGGTGCTCTGTTTCTGTTTTCTTCGGGGGGTGGTTTGAGGACATTTTTCGCAGTACCTGTCTCCTGAACCGGGCCCTGTTTCTTCACACTTTCCGCAAAATAAATGAAGTTGTAAAATGCATAGAATAGAGCAGTCTGTAGAGCATGGATATGCTCTGTAATTATTATTATTAGGCTATTTTTTATTATTGTTATTGTTATTATTATTATTATTGTTATTATTATTATTATTATTATTATTAATAACATTTTATGACTTGAATTGCGTTAAGTCTTTCTTTTCAGTATCACATCTGCCATTAGCATTATGTGTTCCTGGTGACATATAGACCTTTACAATTCTGACTGTCTGCCACCCCCCTCCTCCCCCCCCCAAAAAAAAACTTTTAAAAAGACTCCAACAAACCCCCCCCCCCAAAAAAAAAACCCAACCCCAACCTAAATGTCATCTACTACCCTTTGTCATCAACAGCTGAATGAACAGTTTATGAGGAAAATTCCCCATGGCTCTGAGGCTGCCAACATGTTGGTCGGGGAGCTGGACTGTCTCAGCTATCAAGTAAGAGTTGTTAGTGTGTTGGACTGGATGGGTCTATCCCCGTAGTTTTATGCACACCGCATAATTTAGCAAAATTTGATCATTTTTTGCATAATTTCTGATTAGTTTCCTTTATCATTCTTTGATAAAATGAACACAATCGCATAATTTCACATTTTCGGGCTCAATTTGCATAATTCCAGAATTTAAAAAAAAATATAACCCCGGGGACAGATGGGTTGTGTGTATCTGTTTGTGAGTGAGTGGGGAGAATGGGGAAAGGAGAGAGGGGGAGGGGGGGGGAGGGGGTGCTTGTTTGGGATTAAATCTTGTGAAAATGATTGTTTTCTTGATTTGAATTATTTGAGGTAATACATGATGTTTGTGTGCGTGTGTGTGCGTGTGTGTCCATACGAGTGTGTATGTGTGTGTGTGTGTGTGCTCGTGCGCTGGGTTGGGGTGGGAAGTAGAGATAAGTGTGTGTGTGTGTGTGTGTGTGTGTGCGTGTGCGTGCGCGTGCGCGTGCGCGTGCGCGTGTGTGTGTGTGTGTGTGTGTGTTTTATCAGGAGTAGGCCACTCTACAATGGTTGCATTTTGCTTTTGCACATCTTGTTTATTTATGCATTGTAAAACTTGTTTGTTCACTTGAAATGGGAATGAAGGGCATTCTTAAATCTCTGGAAAAAGTCTGATTATCGCATGAATTCCTTTCCTGCATTTAGCATCTCAATTTTTCATTTTTGCAACTTTTTTTGTATGTCGTGACTCATGGCTTTAGTAAGGCTACACATCCGAAATAATGGTATTCAGTATAAATAAAGCTATGCCATTGAGTGAGTGTAATGTTTTATACATATGAAATACAGTATTCATCATAAATAAAGTTATGACATTGAGTCAAGGTAATTTTTTATACATACAAAATAAGGTATTCAGCATTTTTAAAAGTTATGGCATTGGGTCAGTGTAATTTTTTTTATATCATGCTGTAATTTCTCCACATAGGTCGTTGCCTTTATCCGGTTATGTGAAGGCAGGAACATAGGGGACATAACTGAAGTCCCCATACCGACAAGGTTTTTGTTCCTTTTGCTTGGCCCCCCTGGCAGCCAGCAGAAAAATGTGGAGATTGGTCGTTCCATGTCTACCATCATGGTTGATGAGGTGAGTCAACTGCTGGCCTTAACTTGGTGCCTTCTTTTTTTTTTCTGCCTCTTCCACGGAAGAAGCAGTTGTCCTTGAAAGTAACCAAGCATTGTTTTCATGAATGAGCGCAGTAACAAAGACCAATGTTTTATTAGCCTATTTGTGGGCAACTAAAAGTAAAAGAATGTGTAATCCCATTTACAAACCTTAACCATAATATTATTCTTTCAAGTCTGTACTTCATGAAATAATAAATGTGTGTCTTCTTCTAAAAATAGTGATGATGAGCAAAATAAGAGAGAAAAAAACCCCCCACACTGAAGAAAAGTAGTGTTGATTTTTATAATTCTTCGCATCTGAAAGATCGCGAGTAACATCAATACATTATAAAAAACCAAACTCCCTACCCATGTACAGTTCAAATTATTTAGTGATTTTAGACGACTGCAAAGGTAACAAAGGACCAATTTATCTCTTCAAACAGAGATAATAGTCTATAGCTTTAATACCACAGTTGTACCAGGAGCAAGATACAGTGCTACAACAATTGAAAAGTATGTATAAATTTTTCATTTGACCCCAAATGAACTGTTAGGAGGTCAAGGATGTAAGAAGTGTGCTGTTTAATCAACAGAGTTAGTACCTCCTGTGCTGGTTGGATGGCTTCTCATCCTCCACCACCTGTTTGATGACAAGATGGTACATTTTCTTCAAACGTGTTATGTCTTGTGTCCAGCACTCTTTTAAGCCACACTTTTAACCTGGGGTCTGGCACAGCACAAAATAGACTCTCAGCTTTGAAAATGCTTACATATGTCTTGTGGGGTGTTGAGCCCATCTAAACACAAGTGAAACAATTCTAAATTCATTCAATCAAATAAAAATGTTGAGCATTATTTCTCTTGATTTCTGCAAAAATCTGCCCGGCTTGTCCCACTCAGTTGTTGGAGGAAAACGTGCTTAGCCTTTGAAATGATTTACACTGTATTAGCAGGCTAGATCACTTGAGTTTATGAAAATCTTTCAAACAGTAGCTCTTTTGATGCTTCTAATTGTGACCATTTCTTGCCAGGTATTCAGGGAAGTCGCCTATAAGGCTCGCAATCGTCAGGACATCCTGGCTGGTGTAGATGAGTTTCTGGACCAGGTCACGGCACTGCCCCCTGGTGAATGGGACCCCAAGATCAGAATTGAGCCACCTCAGAGTGTTCCTTCTCAGGTATCTTCAACTGAATCTTCAAAGTGTTGTTTTTCTTCTTATTTTTGAGTTATTTTTGTTTTTGAAATTTAAAAAAACCCATTCTTCTCATATCTTTTAAATATTTCCGAGGATTTGCCTTTTATTACTGTCTCCTTTGCCATGAATAGATGTACTGTATTCATGAGATTGAAACTTTTAATAAGGGCCTATGCATAACAAACAATAATTTAATATGTGTGTGTGTGGAGGGGGGAGGGAGGGGGGAACTGTTTTTTTGCTGTGTGTGTATGTGTTCATACATTTCTTTCTTGCTTTTGAGAGTTTTAGAAGACATGGACTAGGGCATTAGGAAATAGAGATGAAAATGGCTCAGCATTACTGTTAATGAAAAATAATATCTCAAAAAGCATTCACTTCTTTCTGGTTGTTCATGTAATGTATGTACCAAACTGAACTGAAAGACTTTAAGTGTTTGACCGTCTCTTCATTTGAGCGATATTTTGATTACCACTTTATAGGAGCAGCGAAAAGTTCCCAAGCCCACACACCCAGATGGTCATGCGGCTGAGGACGAAGAGGAGGAGGAGACCCATTGTGATCCTACTCTGCAGAGAAGTGGGAGGTCAGTGATTGGTCGTCATTGTCATAATATGACATGCTTTGTTGTTTTGTTTGTTTGTGTCCCAGTGTTTTGTTTGTTTGTTTGTTTTGTTTTGTTTTGTTTTTTTTTGTTTTTTTTTGGGGGGGGTGTTGTTTGGTGTTATTTTGTTTGTTGTTGGGTTTTTTTCTGGGGGAGGGGGAGGCGAGGGGTTTTGCTTGCGATTTTTTTTTGGGGGGAGGGGTGGTGTATGAATTTAACGCCATACCAGAGGAAGGTATTTGTCTTGCCTCGGGAATTGGAGAAAAATGGAAGGAAAGAATTAAAGTGAAGGGAAAGAATGGAAAGGTTGTGATACTATGTAGGTCACTTGGCATTAATTCTGTGGAACGTACTTGAACAGACTGGAATAATGCTGACTTCTCAGTGTTACTTGTTTTTTCCATTATTTAGATGAGTTTTAGAAAGCATAATTATGTCAGACTTTTTCTTTTATTTATGTGATTACTATTTATACAGCTATTAGTGTACCTAATTTCAATAAGTCTGTTTTAATGAAAACAAAGCCAATCTTTTTAGCTGCAAGTAACATCGCAAGAAAAAAATAATTTGATCTAGAAATCTGTGATGTATGATTCTTATTATTTAATTAATCCTCTTTAAATTCTTTTGGTCTTGATGCTTCTCTTGGAGCCTATAGCACTGCCTTTTTTATGCTGGGTAGGCTATATAGACTTTGCATGATATGTGATATTGGGGAAAAATTAAAAGTTTTGCATTGTTGATAATTCAATGTTAAGGGCTAAAAGAATGTAATTGAGATTGATGTCACATTATTTTGTGTCAGCTGTGAATGTGCATAATTGTTTATGTGTTATTCGGAATATTCATGGTTGGACACTACATTAAAGATGTATTTGATTTGTTTTCAAGCGAACATAATATGTTTAAGCATGAATCTGAGTTGCAGTGAAGTATGTGTTCATTCATGCAAACTGCATACTCTCAACAGGTTGTTTGGTGGTCTCATCGCTGATATCAAGAGAAAACTGCCTTGGTATGCCAGTGATTTCAAGGACTGCTTGCACATCCAGTGTTTGGCCTCTACAATCTTCTTGTATCTGGCCACCCTTACCCCTAATGTGACTTTTGGTGGCCTGCTAGGGCAGGCTACTGACCAGTACATGGTAAACAAATCTTCTGTCTTTTGAAATAATGTATAACTTTCATCAATGCGATAAAATGGAAATTTTGCTGAAATATATTCTAAATACACATGTCTATTATATGGATTTTCCATATATACCAAAGAATGCTGAAACTGGTTGAAAGCAAAGAAACAAGCAAAGACTAGAGAGATTTAAACTATAGTAGCCTTTATTCAAATTTGTGCGCATTGCAATTGTTGCTTTCAATACAATATTTGATTATGTCTGTTTTCAGCGAAATGTTTAGCTCATGTCTACCAGTAATGGGAGTGCTCTTGACATTTAACTTCTTATACTGATGTCAAGCTTACTCTGCATTTAGGCAGCACCTGCTTTCTTTCTTTTCTTTTCTCACAGTAACTACAATTATAAATTATGTTAGATCCATGCATGAAAGTTTACTCATGTCAAAAATGTGTTTCCCACACTTTCAAATGTTGTGACTTTTTGCTGCCTTCATTATAAGAGGAGTTTAAATGAAATCTGTTTTCCAAATTCTGGAATTGTTCAATAAAGTTATGGTTTTCAGAATTTTGAAGTCGTGTACTATAGTTACATGTTTCTTGTCCATGTTCCAGGGTACCATGGAGTGTATTCTGACGGCTTCCATTTGTGGTGTCCTGTTTGCCTTGTTTTCTGGGCAGCCATTGAACATCTTGGGTAGCACAGGCCCTATGTTGGTGTTGGAGATGATCCTATACAATTTTTGCAAGTGAGCAAATAGTATTTATGCACTCTAATTGTATTTATTTGATAATTAAGTCTCGAAGAATAACAACACTATGTTTTCTCAGTCTTCTTTAGCCAAGGACCCTCTTCCATTACAAGAAAATTAATGGGAACCACCTTCTTTGATAGGTGAAACAATATATATATATTATATACATAGGTATACAACTAAATTTTGCTTACTGTATGCTTTGTTTCTTTAACATAATGTGCATATATACATCACTTTACTTTTCAAATCAATTTTAAAACATTTATTTTAATGTTGGAATACATAATACGTATAATGAAGCAGGAGTAAATAAGACTGATAGAACAAAAAGTCTTGTAAACTTTTTTGTCATTGCTATCTTCAATTGAAACTATGGTATTTACCTAAATTACTATGAATTAAATCCATCCATCACCACCACCTTGTGTTTATGGCCCAGTCAACTTTTTGGCTCTCAACATTTTCTATTGTGGAATCAAACTCTTGTGAATTTTTAAAAAATGTCTATATTTGTTTCATTCCAGGGACTCAGAACTAGACTTCTTACCATTCCGAGCGTGGATAGGTTTATGGACGGCTTTCTTCCTGTTACTTGTGGTGGCTTTTGACCTGTCTGCCCTGGTGCGTTACATCACTCGGTTCACAGAGGAAAGCTTTGCCTGCCTCATCGCTGTTATCTTCATTGCTGAAGCCTTCAAGAAGCTGATAGGTTAGACATCTTCAGTTTACTATAAGATCAACTTTATTGATACTTCTTTGGAAACGCACAATGTCCTGTTATTAATTTCCTAAACGTTACAACATTATGCCACCTCAGAATCTCAAAAACACTTGTACACTCACACACGCACACACACACGCACACACACACTCACACACACACACACACACACACACACACACACACTCACACACACACACACACTCACACACACGCACACTCACACTCTCTCTCACTCAGACTTTGATGTGCTGACTCTTCAGAGATTCATTGACAAGGAGGAGGCAAAAACTGCTGGTGTATTTTGTTATAAGTCACTGTTTCTCAGTGTTTCACAGGAAAAATTTGGTTTCACATTTAATATTGAGGCGAATTGATTTTCCTTTAATAATTAATGTATGCCATTTATAGGAACTTACAATTTATAATGTTGTTCCATTTTTATGAATCATTTAGGCATTGTAGCTGGCCTTTAGAATGGATGGTTTGTCTTGATTCTCACTTGGTTTGAAATCCACAAGTTGGCAACAATGTGGACAGCACTAGAATGGGTGGCTTCTCTTGATTCTCACTTGGTTTGAAATCCACAAGTTGGCAACAATGTGGACAGCACTCAGTATGACTCCGCTAGTGCTGACATACCGAGAGTACTTGGGAAAAGCCTGCTGTACTTGATATTCTTGCACAAACCATCCGTATCTTTCTAGTTTTAGTAGAAGTTTTACGGCACTTGCAACACAAATAGGTTCATATAAGTGCTGATCCATATTGTCTTTATGTCCTTAATTTGGTATGCAAGCTTGAAGTGAGTGAAAGGATAATGACTGCTGTTGTACTTTAATATCTGGCATTTTATTGAAGGAGACACATAGTTCACAGCCCATTATTTGGTGTATAGTAATCATATTTTCTGCTTCTTTTAGTCTCTGATTTTTATATTTTCTCCTTTTCTTTGTGCTGATGTTTCCATTGACAAATGAACTAAGTTGTTGTAACATGGTAGCATTTTTGGCTGTTCACCATTAGGATGTTGTTTATGTTTCTTTGTACAGGCATTCTGAACGAAGCCCCTATTAACACCAACCCAGACGTGGTGCTGAACTACACCTGTGAGTGCTTAGCCCCTAACACAAGTGACCTCAACGCCAACATGACCTTGTTTAAACTCAACGAGAATGCAACAGACTTCAAGGACACAATCTACAGCTACATCTTAGGCTTTAACATCAGCGACGCCAACCAAACAGCAAGTGAGTGACTGCCTAAGAGCATTGAGCATTACTTATAGTTTGTTTTAATCATTATTGTAACAGGTGAAATGAATTGGTAGCTATCTGCCTGTAAGCCGGTCTGTCTGTCTGTCTGTCTGTCTGTCTGTCTGTCTGTCTGTCTGTCTGTCTGTCTCTGTTTCTCTCTGTCTCGCTCTGTCTTTCTGTCTCTCTCTGTTTGTCTGTCTCTCTCTCTATGTCTCTCCCACTCTGGGTCTCTTTCTGTCTATCTTCCTCTGTCTGTCTTTATCCCTCCCTCCCTATTCTCTTTTTTGCCCTTTTTGAATGCAAATCTTTCTTTTCACTTCGACACATAACATACAGATTTATACTACTCTTCATGAAATGAATGGCATGAAAAAGAAATGTTTTTTGTTTCTCTTGCAGCATTCCAGTCTATTGACCTGGACAGCCTAAACGCCTCAGCGATCAACTGGACAGCGGTCAACATCACCAAGTGTGCAGACCTTGGAGGTGTTCCCATCACTGTAGGATGCGACACACCAATTTATGTACCGGATGCTTTCTTCCTGTCAGTATTGCTCTTTTTGGGAACATTCACCATTGCTTCAACGTTGACCAATGCTAAGACCAGTGCATTCTTCCCCACTTTTGTAAGTGATAATGTTTGACCAAATAATAGACTGTGACAGTTTATTTTTTTCAGGATTACGAATTCGAAAAATCAATAAAGACCTCTTCTCTGTAAGCTATTTTTGTCTCTCTATCCATCCCCTAATCCTCTTCCTCCTCCTTAAACCTGTGTCTACTTTCATTTGTCTTCTTGTGTTATTATGTTTGTCTAATTAATTCCGCTCTACTTTTGTTTCTCCTCTCATCCTTTTTTTTTCTCCTGCTTTTTCTCTTTGCTTACTATCTCGTTCATTTCTGTACATTATATCCCACATGTTCTCTTCATATTGGTACTCTTTCTTGTTTTTGGACTATTGTGTATATAAAAGCCCTACCTGTCACCTATTTTAGATATGCTGTCCCTAGCAAGTCTCAAGAAAGACGACAGCCTGGTACCACCTCATTTATAGTTAAGGTCAAACTTTACTTTTTATGTAAGAGAAAAGATCTATGGTTGTTCATGGACTTGTTATCTGACATGTATGTCATTTTCTGAGGGATGAATTATCAGTTTTATCACTTCTCAGAGTTTGTCATATTCTCAAATTTTGGAAAATAGACCAGAAAAGCTACATTTTTGTGATGATTTTAATTTCTCCTCTTTCTTTTCAATATCTACAGGTTCGTCAGACGATGAGTGACTTTGCTGTTCTGATTGCTATTATTAGTATGGTTGTAGTAGACATTTTGATTGGAGTCAACACTCCTAAGCTGGAAGTGCCCACAAAGTTCAAGGTGTGTGTTTATTTTGCTTTCCATGTTATTCTTATTTGTTGTTTGTAAGGCACTGTCTGTTTACTCCGCAGGGACTAGTGTGCCTGTGTCTTTTGTACTGTCGTTTTCAAAGCAGTAGGCCTTTCATTTTGCTTATAAATCTACTCACTTCCTTTTTTGTTTTCATCTTGAGCTGTGGAGTTTGACCTCTTTTGAGGATATATATTTACTCTGAGATCAGTTTCATACTTTCTAACATGCAGAAAATTGTTATTTCCTTATTTTTTTAGACTAGAAAGTTATTCTTTGTATTCTTTTAGTATTCCTTGAGGGCCAGGCAATTTCCACTTTTTATCATGAGTAACTCAGTATTTAAGCAAAAATAAACCAAACTACCTTTTCCCTACTTTCAGCCCACATCTGATGAAAGAGGATGGTTCATCAACCCAATCAGCGACAAAAACCCATTCTGGCTGATCTTTGCTGCTGCCATTCCTGCCCTCCTGGCTGTCATCCTCATCTTCATGGACCAGCAGATTACCGCTGTCATTGTCAACCGTAAGGAGAACAAACTAAAGGTAAGTTCATTGCATGTGAAAACTGGCCCCTCTATATTTTAATTCTTAGTTTGAGTTTGTTTTTCAAATTACAGTTGAGTCTGTACTAATAGCCACCTGTCCAAGACAGTTACCTGTACCAACGACCACTTCCCATTTCCTTGTGGGTTTTTTTCTATATTATAGCAACACTGTCCAAGATGTCCATATGTCTAAGACAACCACTTGTCTCCTGTTGTACAGTTTCTATTCTGTCCCCGTCGTTTTATACCAGAAAAATTCTGAAATTATGCACACTGATCCTAAAAATGTGAAATTATGCGATTCTGTTAATTTTAACAAAGAATGATTAAGGAAAATAATCAGAAATTATGCAAATAATGATCAAATTTTGCTAAATTATGCGGGGTGCCTAAAACCACAGGGACAGTCTATCGTACTTTGTTTTGTTTGAAGTTTGTGAAACTAGAAGCACCTCGACATGATCAGAATTGCTGTCGGTGTATGGGAAAAAGGCAAGATTGATAGACACAACAGAGGGGAAGAGAAGAAGTTACCAGTGACACCTTTCAACTACTTCCACTTTGAATTATTTCTGGTTTTTATTCTGAGTTGCCCTTTATAAATGTACCGTATACTCTGTTAAAAGTGTGGGACGGGATGTAATACCAAACTTATTTTGCCATTTTACTGTTGTTAGATGATCAACATCAGTTATTTGTAGGCATTTTGTTGTTTGTACATTATGATTATCTATGTTTCTGAACCCTGCTTTACATGTAGGCCCCTACCCATAGCGAAATTGACTCAAAGATCATACACACACATATCATTATGTCCTGATACTCATCCTGCTTTTAGTTTCAGTACCTTTAACAACTGCATATCTTGCTTAGTCATGAGAATAAGAGGTGTCTAATCCCACTTTGAACAGTTTTTAGAAAAATGACTGATTTCTGTTTTTTAGATAAATTAGAACTATTAATTTAATTTTTATTCTGATTGTCTAAAAATCCTTCTCTGAAAGCTCAATGGAAGTAATACGTTGTTTTTGTTATCACCAAAAGTGGAGAAATCCCTTTTTTATTCTCAAGGGCAGATATGACATCATATTTTGATTTTTGAAAGTCAAAGCTTGCGGCTGCTTTCTCTAGTAAAAAGTGCATATCAACTGCTGAGCGCAAGAAGTGACTATATCCACTTTTCATTGTTTCAAGAATAATGAGTTTGAAATTTGGACGATTTTTAAATCTCTATATCATTGTGAAAAAAGAAGCGTTAAAATCTTGACACCCAATTAAGCTGCGGCTTAGATATTTACAGTGGTAAAGGAGCAACGTAAGGTCTCACTTCCCATATCGATTACACCATTTCAACTAAAAGTGAATAAAGTTACTTCTTGCGCTCAGCAATCGATTTATTTACCCGCACCAGAAGCACTTCTAGTTGAGAGACAGATGAGCCTCTTGCTTGGGGGGATGTTATTCACACTTTTCTTTCTTTCTTTATGTCAACAGAAAGGCAGCGGCTACCACTTGGACATGTTTGTGGTTGCTGTCTGTATCATAATCTGCTCCCTGCTGGGTCTGCCCTGGTATGTGGCTGCCACTGTTTCAGCTCTGGCCCACGTGATGAGTCTGAAGAAAGAGTCTGAGTGCACTGCCCCTGGAGAGAGACCAACATTCCTCGGAGTCCGGTGAGTTTTTGAGGACTGTTATACTGTACTCTATTTATAGTTGGATGATGCTACTACTTCTTCTTGGTCCTCAGGTTTTTAAATAAACTCATATTAGACTTTAGCAATGATAGTACATAACAAGATGGGCCACTTCTCTCTTTGAGCCAATTAAAAAAGTGTCCTCCAAATTTGGTGGCGCCCTCTTCACAAAAGCGCACTCTTTGCGAACAGAGTTACCCTACTTGAGGTTTAAAAAATCAAAGTGAAACTAGCAAGTTTTGGGATAAATTTCGGAAGAACGCTTTTTTTAAATGGTTACGCTGACAAAAAACCTCTTCCGGAGGAAAGGGTGATGGTTTTCTTTGTTTAATTTGACTTTAGAATGAAAGGCGAGAGGTCATTAAAATATAAAAAAACTAAAACTCCGCACTGAACGTACCCGAACTGCTGATGAACAGCAGTCGATCTGCGCCCGCAAGGAGGTGCTATTCCTATTCTTCTTCTGGAAAAACGAAAGAGAGCTTCAAAACAGACTGCAGCGCCATCTGAAGCAAAGAGCATACTTCCTGCGGACACTTTTTGGGCTGAGTGGCCCATCTTGTTATGTATTATCATTGACTTTAGTGCATTAAATTTATTAGCTTTCTGGTGAACATTTTTTCCTTCTAAAACATAATGTCGATATTGCCTTCAGTTTAAGAAAAGCAAAATTTCAATCATTGTCTTAACGTTGGAGGGAAGCGAAATTTCAGATTATTGAATGGATTTTAATGATAAAAATGTCGTTGGGTGGAATGCAAAGAAGCATGATATTACTGTAAAGCAATTCTCATTTTCTTTGTTATATTAAAAGAAGGCCCTATAGTCTGGTTGATTCAAATAAAAAGATTGTCTAAAGTATAGATGATTACAGTGGGGATCATTAAGTTTTCTTAGTCTCAAAATGTTGACGCATTAGTCTATGGTATTGAATGTTTTTCTTCACGTACTTCAGGGAGCAACGTGTTACAGGCCTAATGGTTGGGCTACTCAGTGGCCTCTCAGTGTTGTTCACCACCGTTCTTAGAGTAAGTAGGCCTACTGGGTTTTGAAAATAATGATAAATTGCATTTATATTGCCCATTTTCATCTCACTGAGATGCTCAATGGGAATTAAAATTTTTTAAAATCACAGGTATGCCAAACGAATGTATCGTTTAACTTTTTCTGGAAGGAATTTTTCTGTGCTGGAGTCAGCTTATTGGTAGAAAATTTTCTCATTTTATTTTTAGCAAAGAAAGAATGTTAAGGAATAGGAGAGTGTCACTGACAGTGTACAAAGCTATTTTTAAAATAGAAGACATTTCTGTACTTTTTTCATGTGAGGTGAAATTTGTCTCAATGATTGTAATACTTGTGGCTGTTATGTTATCATATAATTTGTTGCTACAGAGGACAGGAATTTCTGATTTTCAAAAAGGTCATAAAGTCTTAAAATTGTTGTGATTTTGTTTTATAGAAATTAGTTCGCACGTAAGTGTGACTCCTGATATATTCTACTTTATATCAGGGTCTTACCATGGGAAACAGTCTTATGTTTGATTTTTCATTGATACTTTCATATGATTAACTTGTGTTTCTAGAAATCATCTGTTTCTATGCTTTGTCTCCAGTATATCCCAATGGCTGTGCTGTATGGTGTTTTCCTCTACATGGGTGTTGCAGCTCTGAAAGGCATGCAGGTAAACAAATCATTTGAAGAAAAAAACAACTGAGCAAAAAGTAGAGTTTCTGTACTCAACCAAGTGGTGCCCCATTCGGATTTTAAAAAGAATCTGTCTGGGCTTAAATGTCCTGATTCTGTTCATCCGGTAGAACTTTTTTACTTCATCGCTTCTTTCCCTTGTAAGTTTTTGGAAATAATTTTGTTCAGTGAAATCTCTGATGAACTTTCAGTACCAATAAAATTATACTTTTCTTATATCTTCTGCAAATATCAAAAGTATTAGTTTTGCACTCTAAACCAAGTTAGTCCACTCCAAGTCAAATAGTTTACCCTTGAGAACATAATCAAGAGTTTACTCGAAAAATGGTCACAACCAAAATTATTTGGCCAACAGACTAGATCTTTGATCGTTAAAAAATCATTTATTAGTTTTGAATTTTTGTAGTGCCTTTGAAGAAAAATAAATCAAGCTTGTACCCTTTATTTACTGCAGTTCATCGACCGGATCCTACTGTTCTTCAAACCAGCCAAGTATCAGCCTGACTACACTTACCTTCGCCACGTTCCCATCAAGCGGGTTCACATCTTTACCCTGATACAGAGTGTATGTTTGGCTGTGCTCTGGGTCATTAAGACGGTCAAGTCTGTCTCCATCATCTTCCCCATTATGGTGAGTGATTTGTTGGCGGGGATTTAGACTCCAGTCTTGATTGTTGCACTGCTGTAAGACTGTATACAATTGGAGACATATGTTATTGGGATTGCATGTTTTATATTGTGTTCAATCTCTCTTTCTATGTTTCTCTCTGTCATTTCTCTCTCACACTCAACAGTTTCTCATACATTTGGAAAATTAAGCTCTTTTCCTCCTGCCTCCCTTATAATTTCCTCTTTCTCCTCTCTCCATATTTCTCCCACTCCCACTTTCTCTCACTCACTCTCTCTCTCTCAATGTCTCATTCTTTCTATTTCTGTCTGTCTCTCTCACCCATACAGTGTCCCTCTCTTTCTTTCTGCCTGCCTGTCTCACTCCTTCTCTCTCTCCCCCTTCTCTCTCTCTCTCTCTCTCTCTCTCTCTCTCTCTCTCTCTCTCTCTCTCTCTCTCTCTCGTTCTTTCTCTCTCTCTCGTTCTTTCTCTCTCACTCACTGACTCATTCACACTGACACACACATACTCACACCATCCTCGCTCTAATAGTTATAGGTTGCTGAGAATAGATTGTATGCTAATCCTTTTTTTTCTATCAACTACTTATCTTCGTTTTGATTCAATAAAATATGTATAGCTAGCTGTGTCAAAGTGCCTTTCTTTCAATCAAAGTAAAACACAAAAACCCCTGCGTTGTAGTCTCTGTTCAGGATACTATATTCTTTTCATGCACAATGTCATTTATTTTGTTTCTGGCCCTTTGCAGGTCTTGGGCACCTGTTTTGTTAGGAAAGCCATGGACTACATTTTCACCCAGCGTGAGCTGAAGTGGCTGGATGACCTCATGCCGGAAGCAGCAAAGAAGGAAAAGGATGATGAGAAAAAGAAACTTGCTGAAATGGAAGCAGTCAATGAAGAAGAGGAGGTAATTATTCTGTTCTGAATGTCTTAAAAAATGTGCGTGTAAAACATGTCATTTTTTGTTTTGTTTTAAAGAATAAATGTAGTTTTTTGCTTCGGTCTACATCTCTTATAACTTTTCACTTTGCATACTTAACCATTGTAAACCAGCTGCTTCCTTCAAGCAAAAATGATGGAGTATGTTCTTTTTTTCTTTTCTCTATTTCTGAAAATTTTGACATTTTTTACAGGATGAAGCCCTGCTGAGTGAGCATTATGACAAATTGATGGAAATCAAGATTGGAGACAACAAGCCCTACAACCGCACCAACGCTCACCGACGAGGCTCCCAGGACACGGACCGTGTGAACATCAGCGAGGAGATGGCACGTACTGGCATCTGGCTGCAGCTCAAGAAGGATTCCAAGAACGTACTGGTTGACCCTGAGGAAGGGACGGTGCACAAGTATGTCCCCTAGTCTTCTTACTGATCAGTTTTGTTTTGTTTGTTTAGTTTTTTTTATATATGTGTCGAAATGCGGTGGAATCAGGCGCTCATCAATTTTTTGACATGTGGAGTTATTGGTGTCATCGTAAGGCTTGTTCTCTCGTCTTGCTTTCGATGGATAATATACTCATTTGTTTTTATTAGAATAGAAGTCTAGATATTTGCGATTGGAAGAGGTGAGGGGGGGAGGTGGGGGGAGGGGGAGGGTCTCTTGCATTCTGAGGTAAAATTGAAATGAAAATGGACGCCAAAGTTAAATGACTACCAAAGCTTGAGAGTCCTTGGAAACTGCAACATTTTATTTTTGTGTGTTTCATCTGCGTTTTGGAGTAACAGAATTATGTTTTTAAATGGATATAAAATATGTTGAGCTAAAAAAGAAAAATTTGAAAAAAAATTGCCAAAAGAGAGGGAGAAAAGCCGATTTCTTCGATTTCAGTATTTTTGATGAGCGCCTGATTTCACCATGCTGCCTCACTAATGGTTTTTTTGGGTCTTTTTATCCATGTATATACAGATTTTCTTCCTGTTTTCATTCAGCATTTATTTGTTGTCCTCTGTAGTGTTTGAGTGAAAATTTAAAATAGTATGAAAGTTTACAGCTTGTTCACTTTAATACTTTGAATCTTAACTACCTGAGCCTACACAGCTCATGCACTTGATCTCCCAAGGAAGAACTCTTGAGGACCCCATACTGAGGTATATGTTATGTACAGAGGATGATAAAAGTGGCAGATACTGAGACATGCTGTCAGGTCCTCAGTTTTTTATGTAGCCTTTTTGTCCATTGAGGCTCTTTCGGACTGTTGAAATTTAACCATTCTTTTTTCAACAGTCGTTCCAAGAAGAAGCGACACGACAAGTCTAATGGCCGTGAACACCGACACAGGGGAGATAAAGAGAACAAGAAAGAGCACACGGAAAACAATGGCGATGCTGAGGAGAAGAAGACAACATTTTACATGGGAGAAGAGGAGGAGGACCACAAAGTTTGAGACAACTCCACTACTCCATGTGAACAAGCTTTGTTGTTGTCATAATCATGTGATGGTTTTGCTGATTTGTTTGACCTGAGTAAGCGATGTTCTGTTATATTTGATGCTTCGTACGTACTTCTGGCGCTGAGCCGAAGGGCGAGAGCCCAAAAGCTGTTTAATCAATAACAGCAGCATCGCAAACGAAAGTCATACCAGGAGCAGAATGTTGCCATGTGGACATGAATGAATTTTATGTAGATTTATATTGCGAAGGATATGCAAAGGAGCTTATGTATTCTTCATGATGCTGCTTGTATTGTTAAGATAAAATAGATGAATTAATGTAAATAACTTACTGTATGAGAAAACTCTTTATCATATTATATGAAATACAACTTTCCTTGCCAACATTTGTCAACTGTCAAAGTTTCTTGAGGTAGCTAAAAATGTAAGGGTCACTTTCAAACATGGGCGTCTCTTTTTCTTTATTTTGCTGCTCAGTCTTTTTCAGTGAGACAGTCTGGAACTAAACAAAAGCATAGGGTCCATGAGGGTGATTTATCTTTACATTTATCTGTATTCAGAAGTTTAAGCAAAGAGAAAGAAATTGTTGTATGACATATTATATTATGGCCTTATTGTAGATATGGAAAAAAAATAAGGATGAACTATTTCATCTTTATAGTGTTTTCAGTCACTGTCACTTGAAAGTTGATGATGATCTGAATAGATAGAAGGCTTGGATGTTCCAGTTTTTTTGCACTCCACATGGCATTATGATTGATGAAAAGAATCTCAGTGCTTTCTCTTGTATTTTGTTAAAGTGCATGGAAACATTTGATAATAGAGTGCTCGGTTAAAAAACCTATTGATTTTATTAAGTAAATGTGGAATCAGGCGCTTGTCAATTTTTGAGCTTATGGAGTCCTTGGAATCATCGTAAAGCTTGTTTCATTTATCTTGCTTTTGATGAAAAGATACCCATTATTATGTCTTGATAGACATTGAGATGTTTATGATTGAAGGAGGTAGGGATTTCCTGGTGTCAGAGGTAAAGCTAACAAGAAAATGGCTGCCAAAGTTTTACTGACTACCAAAGCTTGAGTTACCTAACTGCAAATTTACATTTTAATGCTTTTGATTGTCATACTTCTGTAAAATCCACATAGAAAAGTGTTTTTAAATGGACATAAAAGGTGTTGATCCAAAAAAAAAAAAGATAGAAATTGCCCATTGACAAACTGATTTTACCATGATGCCACACTTATGAAGAATATAATAGCCCTTACCATGATATATCTATTCTTTTCAACATTAATGAGATTCCTTGTGTCTTCTCTGTATGATTGTATTATGATAATCACTTGAAGTTCAATCTGTGTTTGGTTTCATGAAACTATTTATTGAACATTTCTTTGTTAATACTTCTTTCATGTCTGCCATTATTTGCACACAATTTATAAACAAGATGAACATGTATCAGTAACTTTGATAATACTGGTGCTTTTTGAACATGTATTCAGGGGTGCTTGAATGTGAAAGAAATTAATAAGTCTCATTTCCGAGACCTCTGAGGATTTGGACAATGTGCAGGCAAATGGTGTACTATTGTAGTTGTCTCATTATCATAGCTTTAATTTTCTGGAAAGGCCCCTATTTATTGCTGTTCTTCTCTGGAGTCTGGACAAGTTTTTTATCAATTGTTATAGTTTCTCATCTGCATACAAACTGCTGATTCTCAATTAAATATAATGACATTCTGGATTGTTAATTCGAGCAAAACTGCTCGTTGGGGTCATATTTGCTGCAATATGTTAAGCAACGTATCTGTTAAGGTATTTGAAGTAAAGAGAAAAAGTCTTTTTTTTTCTCTTTTGAAACACATTTCCTAAAATAATGATTTTCTAATATTCAAATGACAATACATGTCATGATTCTTAACTATTTTGATTTTTGCATTGTAGTATATTGTTTTATGTAAGGAGGTCCATTTTTTAATGTTTCATTTCTTCTTGGCATTTTTTCCCATTTACTTTAGCCCACATCTGAAAGTCTTTTAGTCTTATCATAAATAAGCAGTGAACTTTCAATGAGACAGATTTTTCTTAATAGCTTCTACTTGTTTTTAAGTTTATATTTATCACATATATGGACCAATACTTAAAAATCTTTAATTTTTTGTTTGCTCTCGTTATTGATACAAGCGTAATCTATGTAATATTCTTACTTTAATTTAAAAAGGAAGTGATCATAATTAATAAATAGACATGTAATAAATAGAAGTTCCCTTTAAGAAATGCAATAGTTTTAAGAACATAAAAACGTGTGTATCTGTAAGAAAAATCAGTCTGAGACAGTCTTTTCATGACTTATATGCATTAGTTTTCATATTGATTCATACACAAGAAGTGAGCAGGTTATTCACTTAATATGAAATATGCCAAACCTAAGAGGGAATATCTAAATTTTCTCTGTTCAGAGCTTCGAGGAGTGCAGTGTGATGTTTTTTCAGATAACATTTCACCATCTCCTATTGTATTATTTTGCTCTATTTGATGTGAATACTGCATATATTTTTATGTACATTATACGCTCTTCCATCAAGATGTTTATGATATTATATATCACAGTACTCAAGAACATGTGCTGATCTTTTCTGTGCGCTAACTTAATAATTCATTAGCATTGCTAAGTTATTTTACTCTTGAATATTCTCATTGCAATTGCTTGCTGTTCTATCTATTCGTATCCATGGTGTGATTAATAGAAATATAGAAAATGCTATTTGCCTTTTCTTTGTCAAATACAAATTGGCTATTGTGCCCAGTTTTGCAGTTATAGAGTCTGCGAGCTCAGACTGATCAGTGAAAATAAAGATGTTATCAAAAACTTTTGATTTTATTTTGATATAATGTTTTCATTTTTTGAGGAATAGTTTAGATTTCATGCTAAGTTTTTGCCACTTGTCAGGTGCGATCTTTGTACTTTTACAAAGAGGTTAGGTAGTCTATGGGCTCTCAAGAATATTTTTTTAAACAAATGTAACAAATATATTAATATACTGCGCAATACCTGGTAAGATATTTCATGTATGGCTAATTGAAATAAAAACATGAGTAAACATTCCAGCAAGATGTGAATGTTTGTGTTTCAAATGATCACCTATTTCACTCATGCACGGAACAGAATTGGACAGTCCCAAGATTTTGGTGGCCAGAACTTACTTAAAAAGAAATAGTTGTTGTTCGTTTGTACGATTACCTGCCAAATATTAGTTCTGCCAATGATGTCTGTGAAGTGTCATTGTTACCATTGTGTTTTCAAACAGAAAGTTCAGAGGCGCTGATTTCATCCTCGCTACATTTTCGTAGAAATTGGAAATATTGCATTTTGCTCCGTTGTCTTTGTTGATAATAACTGTATTATAGAAGCATTTAATTCCTGAAATTATTTATACCAATAAATAAACTGATGCCTCTTTTATCCATCTAATGCCTATATGTGATTCTCGTCTAGCAAGTGATCTTACCTTTCTGCGAGAATGTGGACGAAATATTTTCACTAGTCAGTGTTTCAAGTTCTGTCAGATATGGGTATTATTTCATTGATAATTATAAGAAAATCTTTTTCAAAACAGGCCGCAAATTTTTATAAAGGTTAAAGGAAAGCTTGTTTAATTGTGTTTTTAAAATTTTATTCATTGTAAATCATCACAGAGGCAGTGCGTAATTCAGTTCTGATTATTTAGAATTGTGGATTGAAAGACAACATGATGTGACATAATGTACATGCCTAGAAAACCATATTTGTTTCAGAAGCATGTTAAAAAAATTTCATCAACATATTTCGCTCTCTACTACATCCCATATTTATAGATTTTTAAGAAACCTTATTTTGACCATGCACTGGAGGAAGTTCTGGGCTGTTTTCCTTAGCCTTACACTCTTGTGCTGAAGTTGAAAGTTTTTAAGTCATTGTCTTGAATTTGACAGATGATTAAAAGCATCAGTGCATTGTTTTTGTCTGTGCTTTTTGGATTTGTAAATCAATTTGATAAAATTTGATTGTGATTGAACATCACAATATAAGCGTTAAAAAAATTATTCTAAGTGCAAACAGTGCATGGATGTGTAGGAAAGAATAAAGAGAAGTTGGGAATAATAAAAGTACTCAGCAGACTCCATATTTCACACCTCCCTTCACATAGAATGCAGTTAGCACCTCAATGTGTCACACAAAGAGGGTGAGGCCTGGAAGCAAATAAATGCATATTGTTGTTGAAGATGGAGCATCAAGAAGTTTGTCTTCATGAAAGGAGTTCGATGCCATAATTGTACTTTTGGAAGAGTGTCTGACAAATTCAGTTTTGTGATGTACATACTTTTACATGATTCTACATGATTAACATATACATGGTTACAATAAACTAAACTTAAAATCCTATTCCTTTTGTTTCTCCTTTTACTCGTTTATATATTTGATTACCTCTTGCTTTTTTTATTTCTACTGTAGCATTTGTAGATGTGGGAGCTAACAGGCTGTACATATTTATCTACTTTGGGTCCGCCTGATCAGCAGAATTCATTTGCGTGGGGGTAGACATCTGGCTTTGTGGGCTGTTTGCTGTTACATACAGTACTTCACTTCATATGCTCAAAACACCAGGTTTGTATCCTGTTAAATGCATGTGTGGACCACTACCCCTGAAAGGACAGGACATTGTGTTGTCTCACATCATGGTGAAAAGATCTTGTGAACCCCAACAGCAATCTAGACAGTTGAAAATGTAATAAGAGCAGAAGTGACTGTCGTTGAATGTGAATAAGTACTCTAATGTGCTGGTGGTAAAGAAAAGTTTTACCCACTTCGTAAGTTACATTAACTCTAGCAAATTTTAGGGGTACCATTTATAAAGAAAACATGATGTGGGTGGTTAGAAGGTGCTCTGGTGTGGTTTGCTCTTTCTTTCCTATCAAACATCAATCATCCTTATCTCTCCTCCTTTTTTGTGTTTATTACTCTCTTGTAACATCTCTAATCTTCAGCACTTGTTGTGTTGCAAATGCCGTAAAACTCTTATTAAAAAAAGTAAATATGATGTATAATAGCATTTCCTCCAGATTCATCTGTCATGCAATGATTAGATTCTGATTTGCATGAAAAGGGGAGAGTTCAATACCCAGATAGGGATTATACTTTAATGAGTATCTTTTTATTTCAGCTGGCATAAATCCCATACAGCCCTGGTTGGTATGGACAGTTACCAGGCCTGAGCAAAAAGCCTGCTTCCTAATTTATCTAAATCGTGACAATTTGGGGGTGTCAAACATTTTCCACTGATTCATTAAAGATGGAGTCCACATTGGCGGACCAGTACATCATAAATATTTTTATTTGTTCCGTTCTGCCAAGAACATACAAAGATACAGCAGGATGGATGGGCTACCTCATATATTACTGTCAAACACCTGCTCCCTCTCCTCTATTACAATATTGTCATGTCGACCCAAGAAAACCAAATTGTTTTGAGTGATATTATCAATGTTCTAAGTAAATTGCGATTGAAAATTTACGCGTTTTGTAATTTGCAACAATATCCCCACGTTTCCCAATTTCCTTCTTTTTTATGTTAGATGTGTTAATAAAAGTTGTAAAAATCATTAAGTATGTAACTGAATCATATTGTTATTTTACTTCCGAAATCTGGGAAATTTTGGCTCTTGAGACAGATTTACGCACAGGGGTCAAAGTGTAGCTCAGTGGAAAAAAAAACGGGTAAACTTCCGTTCATCATCATCATCTAGAGTCAGATCAGTGGCAGACATCGGCGATCATGGTTCTCCATTCATTCCTTTGCTTGGATGCTCTTAAAAAAGCTATATTTCCCTGATCTTTCCCCATTACCCATTTGTTTAGGTTCCCTAAGTAGGTTGCCCTGCCTCGTTTGCCTTCCATTTTGCCAGTGAGAGCTAGATGTTCAAGACCTTTATGTCTACTCAGGTGTCCCAAAAACTGCATTTGTCGTTTCCTGATTGTTTTTAACTGAGCGTCCCACGGGGCATCATCAAGCACTACCTCATTTGATTTCTTCTCCTTCCACGATACTCCTAGCAGTCTCCTAAAAAAACACATTTATTCTGTTGCTTCTCTTTTATTTTCACTGTCTTTAGTGATTGTCCAGATTAAAAGCCACATAGAAGGGTTGACCATACATAGCATTTCAAAACTTTCATTCACTAGAATCCTATTTCCAGCATGTCAAGGTAACAAATAGAACTCGAAATCTTCCAACTGCAAGTCAACAATGTAACTCAAAGGTTTTCCCTTGTGAGACAGGACGACTCTGTAACTGAAAGAGCCAACTTCCTAAGGTGGAAATATGAGTTCTAATTATTTTTCTTATTAATCACTTAATGCAGAAATGCAAAATCAGTACCTCCATTTCACAGCACTATCCACCGAACTCTTTAGCATATGCAAGGATCATTGCACCCTTAGGATAAACTGACAGAATTTTTGTGTTAGTCTCATTTACTGGTGATTTAACATTGAAAGTGATAAATTTACACGCAATAAAGAAAGTACTGCTATGGGAGAGACCACATTAAATGAGACATAATAACAACAAAGAAGCAACCTGGGAGTTTAAGCGATTTATTCATATTATATTGCTGTTAACTATATTCACAAAAGTTGTGGATGTAAACGTTCCAGTGAAAGTGAGATAAAAGACATACAACACTAGTTTGCAATTAATTACCATTTAATTTTTGTGCACACACAGACTGATACTTTACTGAAATTTGATAGTCGCATCATTGTAACTTTCCTTCTTTACAAATCCATTACAGAACAAAAGAATGACATAAACCAATGAGTGAACTTTCATAAAAAGAGAAATGGACAACAATTTCATGAAGGTGAGGTGGAAGTCTACAAAGTTTTTGCAGTAACGTAATGTTGATCATACAAGTCCAAGCAGCAGTACAAGACCCCTAAAGCAGGTAATGAGTGTGAAATAAATTTATATTATATACAATCTCTACAACGTATAAGAAAAAAAAGTTTTATAGAATCTCATAACAGATCTTCATCTTCAGTAAAAGTTTCAAACAAACAAAATGCAACTGCAAAGGCACAATCAAACGATTAGAAATTATATTGTAATCTTATAATGAAAGAGAAAAGCAAAACTAAAATCACATGAGAAATTCGATACATGCATTTAATATACAGATAGCACCATATGAAAAGAGGGGAAAAAATTGCAGGGATTATTCTATAAAGTGTAAAGAAGATATATATCTAGGAGACTCACTTTCAGATGTAATTGACAATGAGTACTTTATCATGAACATCTTCTTGTGCATTGCCATAAATTTCCATCTTGTAAAAATAAAATCTTCTATGAAACAAGTATTATAGACAATTAATATAAACAGAGTGCCTTAGTGCTGATCCAAGGATGAGTGTCAGCTTCAAAAACTATCTTGTCCATGGTACCACAGGAAGCCACCGCTTGAGCATCAATTTAACATGCTTTGCCACTACGTAAGGTTCATTGGTCATGGACAGTTGACAGTCAGAATGTCCTCTTAAGACAGAAAACAGACATTGTCGCAAATATCAAGACAACATTAAATGCCATTGTACGGATATGATAACCACTGGAAAGATGTTAAGACCAATAATGAGGCAGCCCATAAAAATCTGTCACATACGCAACAAATTGCATTCATTTAATTATTTTGGGGGGGGCATGTATTATGATGTGGCTGTATTTAAGAATACCTGGTTCTTTATTTTTATCTTAGTACCTGAACTTGTTCAAAAGATACAGGCACTTTACCAGCATGATGAATGAACAACAGCGGGAACAGTCACATAAATTACTCAGGTTTTTCCAAATTAACTTTCAGGAGAAGTATTGGACTTACTCAACAGAATCTTTATATGTCTTAGATCTATGGGTCTCAAACACAAAAATTGAAAAAAAATGACTAGTGTCTCAAGTAATTTGCCATGTTTTCCTTGGTCAGCACACAAGATACAAGATAATTATTTTTAAAAGTTCAATATATATGGTAGACGGCTGATATACATTAATTTTTAAGAGAGACAGCTACTTACGGTTTCATTGCGCAAAACTAGTATGGTAAATATATTATACAATGTCTACTGGTAGTATGAAAGAGGAAGATCTTAAAAAAGGAAATAATTTAATCTTATTCTGTTTTTTTACCAATGTTGTGATACAAAAAAGATAAAGACCCGCTGCACATACAAAGAGCAGAACATAACACTTTTCAAGCAACACACACAAAAAAAAAAACGAATTCAACACATACAGTTTATGTATACTTCATTTGAAAGATAAATGGATATTCAAAGCTGGAAAAGAAATTAAACCTTAAGAATGAACAGACACGATTCAGAGTAGACTTCAGATCCCGTTAAACATACCCAAAGTATTGTTGTCTTATTCCATTTTGAATTTCTTATAGGGCCTATACATTATTCCATGTATAAAAACTGCAAAATTCTTGCATTTATTAATTTAGTTTCAAACATTGCAGATAGTAACTGGCCAAAACAAAATAAGGAGCAATTTTACCCCTTACAACTAAGGATTTTTCAATAAGCTATCTGAACAGCTTTTCAAAAAATGGCAACCCTACTTTTTCTGTGTTTCAGACTTTAAAAAACTCTTTGTAATCTTCAGCAGTTTTACAAACTCCCTCTATGATACCATTTCACAATCAATAAGCTTTTCATAAAACAAAATTTTTCGCTATTTTCACAAACATTTGAAATTGTCAGCATTCATAAGACATTAAAATTTTTTACACACAATGACAGGAAGACAAATGAGATTCGGAGTAATCTGCCAACTAAAGTAACATAACAAAATCACAACCAGCAGCATAGAAACTGACAAAGCAATCAAAAGCGACAAAATATGTGCACTGGAATGAAGTACCTTAAAGATTCCCTTTTCTGACTCAAAAGTTACTTTTTTCATGTTTGCCTTTAGAAAAGTTCAAACCCTGTCAAACCCATACTGTGAGAGTTTTTTTCTCATTTCTAACTTTGTTTTGAAATATCAGACAGAATATATACAAAACTGTTTAATGCATTAGATATAAGACAGACAATTGGATAGCTTCTTCGTTAATATAACGAACAAGATAAAAAAAGTTGAAAATAATTATATTTTTTTCTTTGCTAAAAAGAAGCGAAAAAGAAGTCTACATCCATATTGGCTGTAGCTGATTCCAGCCTTTGATTATTACATGCAAATAAACTCAAATAACACACTGTGAGCTATATAGAAAAAAAAAAGACTGTTAAAAGAAATAACAGCATATCACTCCCAACTTTTTGATTCTTCAACTCCAAATAAAAATTTAAACTTACTGAACATTGGCCAAAATTTTTAAATATTGTTTTCCTCTGGAGTTCAAGTCCCTTATCAAATTCTCTACATTTGACCTATCAAAATGACATACAAAGCTCTTTTAGTGGGAGCCATATGAGTCATTAAGTAGTGTACTTTTTATTTAATTTTTAATAAAAATGTAACCACTTACACACAATGAAAAACAATGGATCCTGATGACATCCATTAGTATTTATAAAACTGAGTATTCAGTCTCCTCCCCATATTTCAATACAAAAGTATTAAAAGTTAACATAAATGAAATCTGTTGGCATTTGGTATTTCAGCTTGTACAACTGACAGTGGCAATGTATTCAATGAAAAGCAGCACTTATGAGAGACTCAATATGCATGTTTGAAATTTGTTCATTTCTTAAATCTTAGAAAAATAAACATCTATTCAAATATAACACAATATGAAATTGAAATGAAATGAAAATCCAGTGGCGTTTTCCGATAATTTCAGTCATGGTCTCAAAAAGAGTTCATGCCAACACTGACAACTACATCCACATTGCATCAGAAAGGTAGTTACATAACTTAAGTACTAGCTTACCTTGAACCTTACTGTTTGTTCTATACAAAATTGTTCTTTTCTACCCTAGCATACACACAAATACCAGAATCTCCCAACAATTACAAAGCCAACGATTACAATCATGATGCTCATGACAAAAAAAGGTAAGAAATTCTGAAACTCTATATGACAACTGGGGGAGTAATGGATAACATTTTTAAAAACTGATCTCTGAAAAATGATTTACAAAATCTTCTAACCAATGCATCATCACTTCAAAGAAATAATATATTCAAAGGAGATCAGAAATGCCATACTTAAATACCAAAAAAATGGTAGTTTTAAACAGGAAAAGTCAAGCCAGAAAAAAATCTCAAACTGCACTTCAACCGATAAAAACAAAAAGCGACTTACATCAATAATTATTTTTCTTTCCAGGGGCTTTTCAGGTGTAAAATATTAAAACACCAATAAATAGCCCAGAGTTAGGCTTGGATCAAGGATTACTAGTTTAAAAAATTGTTTCCACTGCTCCACCCTTTTTTACTTCCATTCGGCACAGCAACACAACACAAATAAAACAATTTTTTGATTCAATCACACACATGGTATGAAAACAAGGAAGTAGCATAGTCTGACATACCAAAATGAACTGGCCCCTTGTAGCAGTCTTAAGAATCAGGACTACTGGATATAGTCATAGAAATTTTGTTTAACTCTAAAAGAAGTAAGTAAAATTTTACGATCAACAAGAACCAAAATGGTAACACCATGAGATATTTGGTCAAACTAACAATATAGTAATTAATTTTATATAAAAACTGCTACAATTGCTAGAGCCAATATGATAGAGCACAGGTATCGCACAACAATACGTGCTTTAAGACAGAGGGACTAAAAGCTCAACGCCTCAAACCAGGACCTGTTTCTTGATCTTTGACCTGACCACCTGCAACATGATGAGTTTGCGAGCGCCGTATTTGTCTCCCAGGGCAACGATGGTGCTCTTGTCCTGGCTCATGGTGATGTAGAAGACGTCCACGCCGGCGTTGAAGGCACAGATCTCCTGGGCTGTCCGCAGCTTCCACAGGCGAATGTTGCCGTCACGGGAGCCCGATACGATGACTTCGTTGTCTGCTGAGATGGCTGTGCACCACACCTGAGTCGACAGAAAAATATTTATTGAGAGGTTTTCAGACTTTCTTTCAAAGTCTTCAATGTCTAAATACAAAAAGTCAAAGCTTACTTGAGTCAATGGAATGTAAGTATTCAGATCCCTATCCCATACTTTCAATACATCAATATAAAAGGGTGAACGTACAAGCAATCTACTGGTGTATTCTATTTCAGCTCGAGCTGATAGTGGCACAGTTTACATATGAGAGTCAGCACTTACATTAGACTAGGGGATGTAAACAAAATTCAGAGCTGACAAGTTCATATTGAAATGATACAGTTAAATACATGTTCTGTTCATCCTACAGTTTCTTCCTTTCATTTCAGTTTCAATTTTACTCTCAAACAAAGAAAAGCACTAAACTGTGTACAACAGTATAAAAAAAAACAACCCCAAAAATGCCATATTCCATCCACACCCACACACAACATACACCTACCCATCAACCCAGACACACACACACACACATACACACAACACATACCCATCCACACCTCACATACCTACAAACATACACTGCA